TTATAATTTGTGTTTACAGTGCGACCGACGCTGCACAAGTAGTTCTCGACAGATCAGTGAAATACATGTAAAACCCTTCTCAGTCAAAGCAACGCTGAAATTCTCCTTTAAAGCACAGTGAATATAAGCCAACTCGATAATCTCAAAAGCAGAAGCTGCTGAACCGAAACATGTTTGGAAACCATCCACATCGAGCACTGCGATCAATGTTCACTTCGCGCGTGCTGAAGATTACTGATCATGATGTGTCACGTACGCAGTGATAATATAACATGAATCGAGGTGCATCATGGGATACTATTCGATCGTCGTCTGACCATATTCCATGAGTATGGGGCTCTGTCCCACGCGCGCTTCGCGCGCGCGGGATCCCCGCTATTATTACGTAATGAAATCGGGAGCTCCGCTTTTAGGCTTGGCTGAATATATATATTATTGCTTATCAACAATTTCATAACGTTTAAAAATGGTATTGCATCATAAAGAAAAGCTTAAGAAACAATCTGATCTTATCTAATACTGTTAAAAATTTATAATTATGGCACAATGCTAAAAGGGTTGATACAAAATATCTGAGAAAATTCTGTCCTTATCTCAAAAACACTGTCACGTTTTATTAATGGTTGCATATAACGAACTTTGAACATTTCAAAAATAATTGTCACTGTTGGACCACTGGTGTGGCATGATTTCTTGGTGCTTTTCTTGCCTCCACACACTTTATGTTAATTTTTGGCACCACTTGGCCCATCTCTCAAAAATGTAGAGCAGACTTAATCTAAAAAAGAGAGGTCATTGATATTATGTGCTTTGTAAAAGGGAATAATTTCACTGTTCACAATTTGTTTAAAAGGCCAGGTGATTTTGGATGTATTTTGGCCCACTATGTACCAGATTATAAAAAAACAGTGCGCGCAAATGGACATTTTGAAACAATTCCATTCAATTGCTTTAGTGTAGAAGGTACCAAAATTAATAAAAATCATTAATTTTTACCAGTAAAAATTAATATTTATAACTATCAACAGGCATTTTTTTAAGTTCCAAACTTCTTTGCTTTCAAAACAATGCCTAGTGCAAAACCTTTCATCCTGAATGAGTCTTGCATGAGAAATAACTAAATGTCTTTTTCACTACTAAAACGTTTCCCCTTTACCCAAGATTGAGTTTCCCCAAACTGTTGTTTTGAGGGAGGTTCGTTTGTCGTCCATTGGGTCCTCTCTTAGTGCATCTAGAACTTCTAGATTTTCAAGCACAATCCCTTAAGGGACTCTGAGAAAGGAATTTCCCTGTTGACTAGAAATGGACGCAATATCTCTGGGAGGCACTATTCCAACTGATGCCCCTGACGGTGTAACAAACTTCCTTTGGAATGAGAAAGGAAGTGCGTGAGACAGTGTTTTTTCACGCCATGCAAGTCCCCTGGTATGCCCTTTGGAAACCTTATCAGCTAAATGCCTTGTAACAGCCCTAGGATTTAAATAAGCAGTAGGTAAGTTATTTGATGGATGTACCCAATCCTGGCCCCCTCCCTCAGTTNTATAAATATGGCACAATGCTAAAAGGGTTGATACAAAATATCTGAGAAAATTCTGTCCTTATCTCAAAAACACTGTCACGTTTTATTAATGGTTGCATATAACGAACTTTGAACATTTCAAAAATAATTGTCACTGTTGGACCACTGGTGTGGCATGATTTCTTGGTGCTTTTCTTGCCTCCACACACTTTATGTTAATTTTTGGCACCACTTGGCCCATCTCTCAAAAATGTAGAGCAGACTTAATCTAAAAAAGAGAGGTCATTGATATTATGTGCTTTGTAAAAGGGAATAATTTCACTGTTCACAATTTGTTTAAAAGGCCAGGTGATTTTGGATGTATTTTGGCCCACTATGTACCAGATTATAAAAAAACAGTGCGCGCAAATGGACATTTTGAAACAATTCCATTCAATTGCTTTAGTGTAGAAGGTACCAAAATTAATAAAAATCATTAATTTTTACCAGTAAAAATTAATATTTATAACTATCAACAGGCATTTTTTTAAGTTCCAAACTTCTTTGCTTTCAAAACAATGCCTAGTGCAAAACCTTTCATCCTGAATGAGTCTTGCATGAGAAATAACTAAATGTCTTTTTCACTACTAAAACGTTTCCCCTTTACCCAAGATTGAGTTTCCCCAAACTGTTGTTTTGAGGGAGGTTCGTTTGTCGTCCATTGGGTCCTCTCTTAGTGCATCTAGAACTTCTAGATTTTCAAGCACAATCCCTTAAGGGACTCTGAGAAAGGAATTTCCCTGTTGACTAGAAATGGACGCAATATCTCTGGGAGGCACTATTCCAACTGATGCCCCTGACGGTGTAACAAACTTCCTTTGGAATGAGAAAGGAAGTGCGTGAGACAGTGTTTTTTCACGCCATGCAAGTCCCCTGGTATGCCCTTTGGAAACCTTATCAGCTAAATGCCTTGTAACAGCCCTAGGATTTAAATAAGCAGTAGGTAAGTTATTTGATGGATGTACCCAATCCTGGCCCCCTCCCTCAGTTCTAGGCACAATTTGTCAACAAACTCCTTTCCTGGATAATTGGATAAGGCCTGATATAAAGTATCTACATTTA